GGCAAGTATTAATAGCCATAACATACACAAACAAAAAGTTTTTAGGGTCCTTATAGTATGTCAGTATGTGAAGAGGTCCTGATTCCAAAAGAATTGAGAACCACTATCTAGAAAAAGATAGGATGCTGGGAATAATCCAGGCCCTTCCTTACATCACTATATTTCAGGTTCATGTCTCTTTTTATGTCATCCTTTCTTTGTTTTTCAGAGATCAAGAGACTTAAAGCTCTATTTCTGTACCAGATTCTTTTCTGGAAGTTGGAAGCTTGTCAGTCTTCTAAAAATAGCAATTCTTTGTTTTTTCCCTTTTAGATTTGATGGTAGAGTGGTAGCAAAGCTTCCTTTCACCCCTCTTTCTTACATCCAAGGACTGTCTCATCGAAACCTGCTGGGAGATGACACCACAGACTGTTCCTTCATCTTCCTGTACATTCTCTGTACTATGTCAATTCGGCAGGTGAGTGATCATATCCACTATTTAATATGTACAATCTTCCTTGTGCTCATACCTTAAATTAGTTCTTAACTTCTATAATGCTAGAAATTATATAATAATCCTTAGTACCTGCTGTTACTGAGTTTTTTCAGTTGTTCATTTTAGAATTCCAGTGTTTCATCTTAAAGCTGTCATATTTTGGGCAGCACCTGTGGCTCAAGGAATAGGGCGCTGGCCCCATATGCCAGAGGTGGTGGGTTCAAACCCAGCCCCAGCCAAAATCTGCAACAACAACAATAACAACAAAAGCTATCATATTTTACATGCCTGTAGGTCTGGATTACTGATCCTTAGGGATAAGAAGCAGTGATAAAACCAAACATAGATTCCACATCCTGTTCTCAGAGTTCTCAGGTTTCTTTATTACAAATATCTAAAGCTACAAAGGCAAAGAGTGGGTTTAGGTTTTGCATTGTCATTTCTTCATTATGCATCAGCACTTTTGGCAGTTCCAGGGTACAAGTAAGGGTAGTAAGTGGTGATTTTAGGTTATTCACAGTTGAGATAAAGTCTGTCATAGAATTTACATTTGTCCAACTTGATCATTGGACATTCATAGTGAAAAACAGTGAGAGATACGAAGGAAGTAAAAGGGTTATGAGGATCCACTACAAAATGAAATGACTTTTAGGACAGGACTTTAAAAGTGGAAGGGGTGAAGTCTGTGGCCTAAGAATTCTTTGTATTTCTGGACATCATTCCGTTTTGAACCTACTGGCATTCAGCAGGCATTGTAGTAGAGAGGTTTGTGCATGCATCAAATATGAACATGATTCGATTCTTTGAGTATTTGTTGCATAAGTGATTCTCTTAGATTTGTTTTTATACCTCCCTTTTGAATACTGTCTGTGGCAATAGATTTTTGGTTGACCAGGCATGTAAGAATCAGTAGGAAATTGAATTACAGTTTATGGCTCAACAAGATCTTTGTGATTATATTGCTTAATATTGTTTCACAATTCATCTTTCATCCCATCCCCCCAAAGACAGCATTTTTGTTATCCTGACTTTCTTTT